ACTGGAGACAATAGCAAATCATTTAACTGTTGAAGATTCCATCGCAACGTTCTGAGATTAAGATAAATCAGTACTTAGCTTTCGCCTTTCATGCAACAGACGCTGTCAGAGTCATAAATATTTCTTAAAGTCTACTACAATAAGCATGTAGTCTAGGAGGGTAGCCTGTTTTGAACGTACCCAACTTTTCCCACTCTATTTAGAAGTTGAAAATTCGGTAATTTTTGGTGATTTGATATTCCTACAGATTGCAAAATAAGTGGAGTAGGAGTTGTGGAAGCAATGCTTTTAGGAAGTCTGTATATTGGGGGCTTTGATCACCAGCACTTAAAAATGCTAAGAAATAGGAAATATCTATTTGAAAAAAGACCAGACTACTTCACTTGGATTGTAATGATACTATCTTGCCAGCTCTAAAACATAATAGCAACCAGCTCTCAATTTTACGGGCATTAAGCAGGTCTACATGGCGCAAACTTGCTTAATCCTAGAGTATGTCTCATTGTAATGTCGCTTCGCTTTTCTGATTTGTAAATAATTATTATTTGTCTTTGTTGCTTCCTTCTTGATTCGAAGCCTGTGAGTGTGTCTGTCTCTGTATGTGTATGTGCCTGTTTTCGTATGTATATGTACGAAACAAGCAGTGATGGCTCAAAGGTTGACATATGACCGTAACTAACGACATTACTTTATACCTGATCAAAAAGGCCAGATATAGAGTATATATACCGATTTTTAGGGATTTGCTGGTGAGTTTTCTTGAATCGCTAGCTTGAATTTAGTTGTGATGATGATACCTTGCTCTGATGATGCTCGTCATATGACGGACGAAAGCTTAGGACCTTTTCACCGGAATCGAAGGATATTACCTCGGAAATAGTGTCACTATGAATCTTCCAGTAAAGCCAATCGACAGCAGGTCAAGAGGAATCCGTTGTCGCCCTCTGGTGGAATCGACCTTCTAATCTTTCCACCAAATACTTTCGCTCGAAATGGAAGTGAGCTCAACAATTATGAAACAAAAGATTCTTCGAAACCCAGCTTTTCTTTGCATACACTTTGTCATAATCGTCATGAGTATTTGGAAGAGGATTTCGAGGTTGCCCCAGAACAAACAAATTTCATTTTTGATGGTACTTCGTGTAAATAGA